TTTCTTCCACTTTAAGGCTGCATTTGATTCATTACATCGTCTGGAATGTGCATGTGGAAATCTCGAAGTGTCACGCGATAACTGAACACATTGTTTCCATTTCAGTACAGATAAACGCGCGAACCATGTCAGCTATCAATGTCGAAAGCTGAATGGTTCCCCATTAACTGTAGAGAAGATGTGCTTTCGACCTTGCTAATTAACGTTGCTCTCGACTTTCTTCCCTGAAAGAGTGTTGACCTTAACAAAGAAAAAGGCCTCATTCTAAAGGGAAGATGCAGTCCAAGATACCGGGCTATATATCTTGCTAGCCTGGCGCAATCAGATGACACTGTCCTGGTCAGTAGTACATGGAGCGGGTTCTCTAACCCGATGGCTTCCCGCAGCTGTTACAACCAGCACTTTTTCTAATGCCCGGAAGTCAAAAGTTGAGGAACCCATTAGTCACAGTTGACTCACAGGTAGAACAGGAAGCTGAAGAGCTCAGGTGGTTGACCAATTTAAATATCTCGGCTCCATCATCGCCGATGAAGATATCATCAAACTAGAGTAAAATAAGAGGACCGGCGTAATCCCGAATGATGTTGGAAACATTAGGCTCAGAAGATCTGTTTCCACAAAAATAAACCTATACTTTGCCTCTGCCACGTCAGTGTTGTAGTACAGCATGGAAATAGATGTTATAACGAAGGAGTATGGATAACGGTTGAAATGTTTACACGGCACTAATTTCGACGCACAGTGAAGGTTAAATGGCAGAACCAAGTAAGCAATGACTACTCTCTTCCGCGCACAGGTGACCTTAGCAGATGTGGAGACTGAGAAATTAAGAATAGAATTGTTAGAGAAACTGTTTCAGGAAAACCATTTATTCTGGCCCATTAGTTTTTAATGTTAATTTCAAATGAGCTGAAACAAGGCAGACTCTGGCCAGGAAATCACACGCAAACCGCTTAAGCTAATGATCTCAGTAAATACAAACAACTACATGGCTTCACAAGCTAACAAATTATTTGAAAGACTGATAATTCCAGTTATACGCATTCATTTTTCTGTCACTTTTCCGGATTTAAACGGCTTAACGAACAGTTTCCCTGCTAAGAGGAAAACAGGATCTAGAGCAGCCTAAGAGATCAATTTAGCAGGAGGGCTCCATGGCACTTTAGTTCCCGCAATGCATTGGCGAAAAATAGCAACAGTTGTTGGGTCGAACAAACATGTTAAAACACCAACGAATATACTTTAGTCCCTAGGCGTATACGGAAAATCAACCCTAGTATCATGGATATGCCGCAAACTGCTAGTTTTCAATGCCGCCGGTGAGAATAATTTTCTGTAACTTCTCAAGATTGACATATGTGCAGCCAATATTATACTGCATAGACAACGCACGAGAATCGTATGGGAACATTTTTTTACCGTCTTGCATCGCGAATTTCGACGCTATACAGAAAGCAAAATCCGATGAGTCGACGATGTGATGGGCACCATCTTGCAAGCGAAACCGAACACCAACTACCTTTGCACCGATGAGGGGACCACGTTCGCACGCCTCCCGAAAACCCTTCAAAGCAAACAATCGATGAAGACGAAACAACAACAAAACTCAACGCAGATCACCCTTTCGATGGCCGGCATAAATGGCTTCGGGACGTTAGTGCCGACGCATTCGTCAACGAACTCCAGATCAAGCTGCTGAGCAGCGGTCAGGGGCTAAACAGATCATAATCACATTTCGCTTAGCGGACACAAATTAAACTACACAACAAACAACTACCAAGAATTCTCTTTTGTCTGTCAGAGTCTTCCTACTGTTTCACTGTTATTTCACTTGAGCACATATTCCATTTATTTATGATGAAAAACAAATTTCTTTGACGATCTTAATCAAACAAATTATTAACGACAGAAAAAGTTTAGCTGACGGAACTTCGCTCAATCTATCTTTAAATTCATTCACTTATTTTTCCATCCTCGAGGCACATTCTTAACATTAAAATTAAATTTAATGTCCCCGTCTACACCTACACAATCGTGAATACAACTCGTAAAGTGTAATCACCCACTCGCACTTCGTTCTAACAACCATCAAATATATCATATCCTTGTCAATCAAATGACAGAATTCTGTGTGCTCAGGTGTCTCTAAAGAAACATGGCAATCATCTATCATATTTGGTAGTAGTGTAATAAATAGTGAAAAACGGGATTTAATGCAAACAAATAAAAAACAGTGTTCAATTTGGTGAGGCATCGCCTCTCAGTCGCTTTGTTCATTTGGTTAGCGGTAATCAGGTTACCT